AAAGAGCAAATATTTCTAATTTTTCTCCTTGTTTGTTGTACTTTTTGAAATATGCAAATATTACCATAATTACCAAAACAATGATTGAGAGACAAACAGAAAAAGAAAAATTAGAAGATTCAATGATGAAACTTCAAAGCTCCCCAGCATGGTGACCTGATTTAGGCCTCTGCTGACTCCTACTGCAGGACCACCCATTGTCCTCTTGTTTTCCTTAGGGAAACAAGAGCCTTGTTCTTCATCCTTGATGGCCAGAGATGCAAGGCTGAAGAAGATGCTGCAAAACAGTTCCCTCGGGCCACCTCTAACTCATGAACACGTGGAAATGCTGTTTCTCCTCTCCATTCTCTATACTGCTGCTAATATAAGTGATCATTTGTAAGTGAGAAAACTAAGTGTGTAAAAGTGACCAGATCTATTCAAGGTCATTTCTACAATAGGAGAGTCAGCATGTAGACCCTGTTCCTGGTGTCTGGCAGCTACCTCCCTGCCATATGAAGGCAGGGGATCATTTTGCTATAGTACATGGCTTGGGGCAAGGTGACCTTCTGTCATTTAGCTTCTTAGCCTTGGGACTCTTGATTCATGTTCCACATGCAAGTGTCTGAGCCTTGAATATGGCCAATGATGTTTTCCCAACAATCACTGCACTCCTATTACCTTCACACCCGCCCCACCCAGGAGCATGCGATTAGCAAGGGATTATGCAGCATATGCATTAGCATGTAAATGCCCACACGCTTTAAAATTTCATCCATTTATTTTCCTTTTTACACATTATAATTATTGACAAATACTAGTTGTATAGAGTAAGGGGATTCATTATGATATTTTCATATATACATATACTGTGTATTGGTCAAGTTTGTCAACCCCTCTCCTATCTTCTCGCTCTCTTCTAACTCTCCTACCAGGCCTGTATAACCCCTCTTCTACTTTATTTTTTAGTTTTCACATATGAGAAAAAACATGCAATATTTGTCTGTCTGAATTATTTTGTTTAACATGATATCCTCCATTTCCCTGAATTTTTCGGCATATGACTGGATTTCATTCTTTTTTATGGTTGAACAGGGTGTTTGTGTGTGTGTGTGTGTGTGTGTGTGTGTGTGTGTGTGCACATGCGTATGCCATGTTTGCTTTGCCCATTCTCTTGCTGCCACATACCTAGACTGATTGCTGGCCTTGGTTATTGTGATTAGTGCCTCTCATGCTCCTATCTTGCTCATTAGCCATTGTTGTATAACAAGGCATTCCCAAACTCAGTGCCTTATTGCAAAATTTTATACTTGGCACTCAATTTTCTCGTTTTACTGGGCTCAGTTGGGTAGTTATTGATTACAGTGTCCTGTCAAATAACTTCAGTCAGCTTGGGGCTAAAACTGCAGTACATTCCCATGGCCTAAAGTCCAGCAATAAGAAAGGGAAGACTGGAACGTATCTTGAGGGTAGAGCACTTGCCTAGCATGCAGGAGGTCCTGACTTCCATGCCCATCATGAGATTGTATAACAGCTTACAATTGATTTTTAAGACCATAGGGAGAATGGAACATGGATAGAGGAGCATTATCTGCTATCATAAAGCAAAAGAAATGACAAGCTTAGTGCCTACAGAGAGGAAAACTGATGGGACCTCATTTCACTGCAGAGCCTTGGAAGGAGTGAAATTCTGTGTGACACAAATCTATAATTGTGTGCTACTGCTGGTTTTCTTTCTGTCAACAAGAGCACACCATTCTTGTGTCAGGCATTGAGTTGGGTATTGAGAAACACTGATTACCAGTTGTGTGAGTTACTTTTCATTGGTTGTTGAGACAAAATACCTGACACCCAACATGCAAGAAGGAAAGGTTTATTTCTTACAGGTCAGAGGTTTCAGTCCATACTCAGTTGGCTCCAAGGCAAAGTGACATGGTTGAGGGGAAGCAGTTAATCATGGCTGCAAACAGCAAGCATGAACAGCAAAAGAGTGAGGCATGCCTTCTTCCCTCCACTCTATGCTGGCTCCACCCCTGGGCAGGTGTAGCACTCATACCACCAATCTGAGTGCTAGACAATGAACCAATCAGAAATACTGGATTTGGCCACATTCATTATTGCATGATGCTTGGGAGGGGCACTGACATAAACTATGACACCAGTAGAGGCAAAGAGACTGCTCTCATACTCTCAGCATGAAGCTTATGATCTACTGAGGTAGGGGGATATTTATCAAATCACTATCCAAGTATAGGCTGAAAATTCATAATCTGAAACCTGAGGTCTGAAATGCTTCAAAATCCAAAACTTTTGAGTACTGATGTAGTGCCAAATTGAGAAATTCCACAAAAGGAAATTTTGATTCAAACACAAAATGTTATTTAATTAAGATTATTGGTACATTTTAGATGTAAATAATGATCATGTTAATCGTGGGAAATTTGTACCATACATGATATGAATCTTTTTTTTCTCCATTCCCGTACCTTTCCTTCAACTCCCTTCCCCTCCTTATTTATGGAAGGCTTGTTTCCTTCTTTCCTCATCATTTTTTTTCATTCCCCTTCTTCCTTTCTTCCTCCTCCATCCATAATTCCCCATCTCATTAGAAAATGTTCAAATATCTATTTTATTTTAGTCCTTATCTACATTTTCAGTTTCCCACACCAGAGAAACAACACAATACACACGTTAATCACAAAATTAATACAAATAATGTATAAAATTATCTTCAGGCTCAGAGTATTAAGTATATATGAACTATAAATAAATTTCATGTTTAGACTTCGGTCCCATCGTAAAGACAACTTATTATGTCTATGCAAGTTCTCCAATAAATAAAAAATCAGAAATTCAAAACACTTCTTTTCCCAATCATTTTGTATAAATGACACTGAATATGCAGATGTTTACTTAATAACCTCAAGGAAGAAGTACAAGGGCTGATGAAAATATACAGCTAATATTCAAATTCTTTAAATTTTCTACAATAAGAGATACATACTCATTAATCCTCCTTAAGAAATACATTCGCAAAATAAATTAAATAAAATACACCTCCTTGCTTCAAACACACTTCTCCATTTGTTCTTGTAATTTTTGGAGCAGTTTGGAAGTCCTCTTTTGCAAGTGTCTTTACAAATTGAGATAAAAATATAGTGAGTACTGCTGCTGAGTGCCATCCAATGGAAGAACGGCTCATATATACACTATGGTGTGTCTTCTTCCACCTCATTCACCAGATCTGGACCCTGTGACTTCTGACTCTTCTCCAAAATCAAAATGATCATTGAAAGGTGAATAATTTGAACTGATTCAAGACCTTGAGGCAGCCACAACAGCAAAACTGAAGATCCTCATAAGAGCACTTCCAGAATTGATTCAGAAGAAAATGGCAAGAATGATGGAATAAGTGCATTCAAATGAAGGAGGAACTGGGTGTGGTGGTGCACACCTGTAAACTCAGCACTTGGCAGGCTGAGGGAGGAAAATCTGAGTTTGAGACTAGCTTGAGCAACACAGTGAGGTGAAGGCTAGCCTGAACTCCAAAGAAAATCCTGTCTCAAAAACTAACAGCCAACAAGCAAAGAACTCCTAGGTGATTGTTTTATCACAGTTTTGTGTTTGTGTGTGTATTACTAACTCATTGAAGATGGAAGACCTTCCCTGTGTGTGGTGGGCAACCAATAGTGCATCCTGGAGGCAATAAAAATGGAAAGGAGAAAGTCTGGCTTCTGCCTCTTCAGAAGAGTTTGAGTCCTTGCCATCAACTTAGGTGTCATTTCCAGGCTCCTAGCACAGAGTCTTCTGCTTCCTGCCAGAGACTCTTCCAGGACTCTGCTGTGAGCTCCAGGCCTTAGACTTGTGTGCAGACCTTTTGCATCTCCAATGAGCACCTGGCCCTTTTGCGTTCTTCTTCACCGGACTCTGCAGATGGCCGTCCTAAGCCTGCTTTGTAAATCCTTATCTGTCACACACACAAATTAAATCTGATCCTCTAGTGCACCCTAACACAAAATGCCTCTAGCTACTTGTGATACCTCCCCTGAACAATTTCATGCCTCACTCATGTGAAAAATACAAAGCAGAACTGCAGCGGTGCTGTGCTAATTATGGCTTAGTTAACAGAGGTGTTGGTTTTGGGCCCATTGTGTTAAAATTCTGCCCACTGCTTTGTTATTGGAAAAGGTATTTAATGTTGGTGTCTAGGCTCACACAGCTATGAAAATGAAGATAATTCCTCACTCACACTCTTGTAAGAATTAACATATGTAAAGCGTCTCAAAGGGGCCCTGGCCTGACACCTATAAGTGTTACATATTAATATGTTATATTAACATGTAAAGATACTTTTTTTTATTGGTACCAATGAACAAACTCACGACTCCCTACTTGCAAGGCAGGCGCTTATGCAGCTGAGCTAAATCCCCAGCCCCATGTAAAGATACATTTAAGATATAAAGAAATCAGATGATGGATACCGAAAGCACTCATTTCTCTGTAATAAAAGAAGGGCAACAACACAAATAACAATTGTATCTGAGCACTTGCTATATGCTAGGAACCATGGGAAGAGCTCTTCATTGGATCTACACAGCAGTGCCAAGAGATGACTATTGCCATTCATAATAGTTTGTTTTTTTAATGGAAATAAACCCTCAATATTTCAAAGTGAAATAATAGGAGAATAAAATAGTGAAAATTGAGGCTCCCAGAACAGAAGCACTGTGCCTAAGGTCAAGCCAGGGTAGATGTCTGAGTCCAGACATCCATAAATTCCAAGCTTCAGACTCAGTCCACTGCTCTGCTTCCTGTCATTGCAGGCCTGGGGCTAAGTCTCCCACAAGCCTCATCAGAGTCCTGCAACCACAACTTGCTTCAGCCTGACCCATCCCCCAAAGCCACGCCCCCTTCCTCATCCCGCCCCCCTGCCCACAACAGGAGGACTACATACCTATTGGGTCCCAACCTTCTCTCCACGCCCCTTGCCCCGCCTCCCAAGCCGCTGAGCCCCACCACTGGCCTCAAGCGAAGATTACACTCCACCTGGCCCAACCTGCGCTGGCCTTGCAACAGACTGTCCCTCCCCTTGCGCCTGCACATCCCACTCAGTCCAGCGCCGGCCCTGGCCTCGCCCTCACGGTGGGTGCCGGTATTGTGCACGGAGTCGCCATTTTGCCGATAGAGAAGCCCTCTGGAGACCTGAACGCTCTTTCTTCAGTGGCCTAGCCTGCGGCGGGGCAGGGGCTGGGGTCTGGGCCAGGTAGGCGGGCGGGAGCCGGCTGTGAGCGGTGGCGTGGCCCATTGGCCCCGAGGTTAGCGGGCGCAGGTGCCTCGGCGGGGAGTCCTGCCGTCGGGGTCGCGGGCCCAGGGCAGCGGGCATGGCTCTGGGGGCGACCCGGCCTCAGCCCGCAAGGCCCCTCTCTCCCTTCCCCCCTCCTCTCCTTCAGGGGTCGGCACAGCCAGGCCTGGCCTGCAGTCCGGAGTCCCTGACCCCCGCCAGGCACTGCTGGGAGCCCGGTCCTGGAGTGGGACCTGCGGGAGGCCGCTCAGGTCTCACATGGCCTCTGCTGTCACTGAACCTGGCTGTGCTGAGCGGGGGACATTTACCGCCCAAACGACGATTTCATTCCACTCTGAGCTCCTCCCTGCAGAGACTGAGAGAGGACCAAGATATTATAGTAAATAGCAGTTATTATTCTACCTGCACATGCTTTGGCTCAAGTCCCTTCCATTGATAAGGGGTTTCTGCTTCTTTTAATATTGGTGTCACTTGGGTGTTTAGGTTTTCTGAGGAGACTGAATGCAGCAAGGGGCTTTGACAACAAGGCAAAGTGTGATCAGTAGGGTTTAAAAATTTAAAACCACAAATAAAAATAATTCACCCACGTAATTGAACCTTGCTACAGAATACACATCTTGCCCGTATTCGGCTATCTCTAACCATTACTACCCAGTTTTGCTCATATCATTGATATATTTGCATAGTGTTGAATATTTATATTATTTGCATAGGTAGAGGTTTACTTAGTTATCCTGTTACTGACCATGTACAAAAGTCTAGTTCCTCTTAGAAAAGTTGCATTGAGCATATATCGTTTTTTCATGGGATAAATTCCAGAATTTGGAAATACTAATTGAGAGTTCTCTGTTCTTTCCCTGACACTTGACACGAACTGGTGCCTAAAGAAGCCATGTTTACATCTTTCAAAATCTAGGTATTTGTCCAATTATCGTGGAAAATTTGGAGTTCAGCAAGATGTTGAGTCATTTTCTGTGCAGACTGAGAGACAGGCCACACAACCTACTGTTGGATTTTGCTTTTAAGTCATGTACCATGTTCGTCTTTTTATTTTGATTGACTCTATTCTGTTTTGTTTCATTTGGCTTCATTCTCTTTAAAATAAAATTAAAAAATATTTTCTTGCTGAGCATGGTGGTTCATGCCTGTAATCCCAGCACTCTGGAGGATTACCCAGGTGCCTAACCCTCCAGGGAATGCCAACCAGCCTGAAATACTTGGTGAGTTCAAGGTCAGGCTGCAGTACATAGCAAGACCTTATCTCTGAACAAAATGAACAAACCCTTTTTCCTCTTATCTTATTTTAATGTAGCACAAATAGATACTAATAAAAAGTATGAAAACCCTTATAAATAGATTATTTCATATTATGCAGTTTATATACTATGAAACTATAGTATATTTATATACTATAGAATAATTTATATAACTACTCTAAAACTGCATAGTATGAAACTAGTATGAGGTATGCAGTTTCATATTATGCAGTTTATATTCTATGTTTAATGATCCTGGGGATTTCTGCATGGGCTATATGCCCCTGCACTTTAAAAAAAATTTTTTTTTGAGACAGGGTCTAAATAATGCACTCAATTTCACAGGTTGAGTTTAAACTTGTGGTCCTCCCAGAGTGCTGGGAGTATAGGTACAGGCTTCCTTATTTAGAAATTCACAATAATTATGTATGTTTATGGGATAAAAATGTGCCTTTAATCTATGGCTCCTTTGTAGAAAGAATCAATCTATTTAATGTACCTCCTGCCTTACTAATCTACAAATTCTTTCACAGTGACTAGGACTGCAAATCCCATTGTTTAGCAGTTTTGAAAGCTAATTTTTTACTAACTGTGGTCGCCATAATGTTTAGTGGACAATTCAAAATTTCTTCTCCACCGTGACTGAGATTTTGTATTCTTGGGTGAACATCCTCCTTTCACCATCCCTCGTGGAACTGATCATTTTTAAAAATCAGACTGCCAAAGAAAGGTGTGAAGGCTCAAGGTACTTGGGGCACATTGCTCTTCAGAAAGCCCAAGCAGTGGTATTCTGCAGGCCTTCCCCTTGCTCCCAGGTTTTTTGTTTTTTTGTTTGTTTGTTTGTTTGTTTTTTCCTTAACTGAATTCTAGGAATTGAATGCAGGGCTGTCTTAGTTACTTTATACTTGTTGATGAGACAAAATACCTGATGCCAAATGTTGGGAAAGGAAAGGTTTATTTCTTACAATTTTTGGAAGTTTCAGTCCATACTCACTTTGCTTTAAGGCAGGCTGGCATGGCAGGGCCAAGGATCATGGCTGCTGCAAACAGCAAGGAGGAAACAGGTAAAAGAGCAAGACAGGCCTTCTTTCTGCCATTAAATCACATCCTGGCTCCACCCCTAGGTCAGTGTAGCTCTCACACCCCTGGTCCAAGGGATAAACAATGAACCAGTCAAAAATGCGTAATAGAAACGCATGAGGCCTGGGGGCCACAGACATAAACTATGACAAGGGCCTTGCACTGAACTAGACTAACTTCTGTTTTAAAATTCTTTTTTATTTTGAGCCAGGGTAACCACAAGTAACTACAGTGTTGAGACACCATTCTTGGACATAGATTCTTACATGTCTATGTGTGGATGCACCTTGATGTCATGTTGGAAACCACTAGGAGGTGAAGCGGCTCTGAGCAGGATTTAAATTTTACTAATTGGCTTTCTATGTTTAGCTGTCAATCTGTCCTCGGCCCAGACCCCTTGCCTGGAGACAGGAACTGATTCATAGTAAGTGAACCTCTATGAATCACAGGTCCTGGCTGAGGCCTGTAGTGGCTTGTGAGGCCTGAGATACCTCAAAAGGCAAGATAAGGCTGTGGACAGTCTGGCTCCAACACCAATTAACTAGGTAGAGACTGCAGATGCAAAGATTACTCCTACAGTCTCACTTCTACCATGTCTTCATGATAAGACAGTGCTACTGAATTGACTTGATTCATTACTTGGAGATATCCTTGAAGTGACTCCCAAGGTCCTGCTCATTGGTTGTACATTCCTCAGTTTCTCTGCCCTTTGTCCTTGGTCCTAATATAAGTGGACTGACACAGAGAATCCTTTGTCTTTACCACCAAAGTGGAGGCCTACAAATCATATAATTTCTCACTTTTTATTTAACCTCCACCATAAAATATTTTGGGAGATCTGGGATCTAGGGCAGAACCCCATAATGTCAGAGTCATTTCACTTTGAAAACCGAGATCATTATTCTCACACCCATGTATTATTTCATGATCAGATTCCTTGGCTTCTTTTCCTGTGGACGCAGGGAGACCAATCTCAGCATCCCCCCAACTTTCCCTGCATCCTGTGGCCCACACTGATGCCCCACACCCTTTACATGGAAGATAAGGATAGTCCCAGTTCCTTTGTGCTTCAAACAGCTGTGAATCAAACTCCTGAAAAGAAATCTTTCAAAGTTGTGCAGCTCTCTGTAAGTGATAAACCTCTGTAAGTCATAGCACTCTGATGGGAGCTGCCAGATGGGGCTCTGCACTGCCCACCAAGTTCTCCCCAGTGCTGTTCAGGACCTGCCTTAAAACCTGCCATCAGATGGAGACATCGCACATATCAGGGATGTGTGCCTGCATGAATCAGCTTTGGAGGCTCAGTGTTTTCTGCCCTTGTTGGCCACCTGTGCTGATTCTCTTTTGATTTATAAGAATTTTTCATCTCTCACAGAATGAACTCATGACACCACTTTTCCACCTGTATCACAAACTATCTGTCTGACTATGTCTTGTAAGGAAAGGTTTCTTGCTGTAGTTTGTAGATTATACTTGTTTCTGTTTTTCAAATGCAATGAATCAGACATTTCTAGCTCCCTCCTATCACTGAAGTCATGGGAACATTTTCCAAAATAAAAAGATGACTAGGTACACAATGTTCTCTACATTTTCCTGATAGAATTGTCTACCTGGGGTTTTCTCTTCTATCAAAGGGCAACAGCAGCCAGTGTCTTCCAGTAAAATTTGACTGAACATAATCTGATAAATGATTATTAAAGACCCAGAGTACTAAATTGCAGTGAGAAAAAGGTCAGAGGTGGGTGGGGTATAGCAGGAGAGGACAGGGGTATGGGTGGGTCCAAAACTGAGTAGAGACCTAGAAATCAACAGATGTGGCAATTGTACAAATAGATGATGTACTTATATGCTACTGAATTGAACATGATGAAGCAAATGGTATCTTATCTTTAAAGGTATATTGTACTAGAATTTAATGTGCAAAAGAATTACAGACTTAGTTGTGGAAATGTAAACTTAAAATAATACAAGGAGTACAAGGAGAGGGGAAAGGAAAGGGAGGTGCTTTGTAGGAGTGGCCCTAAGTGGAGCTCAGGATGCTTGCTGTGGAGCCAGTAAAAGCCTCAGCTCTAGAATTTCTCAACACAGGCTGCCTGGCCATAGTTTTCACTTTGATCCCAAAACTGGTGAGGTCACTGGAGATGGATCAAGCATAAACTCTGCATGTGGGACTTGAGCTCCATGCTGACACAGGTACTCCCCTGTGTCAGCAGAAAGAGAAAAATCACCAACTATCCTTGTTCCTTGCAGGCCCTAGAACTTCCCAGTGCCTGTCACAGTCAGTTCTGTGCACTAATCCACCCCAGGAAAGCTTCCCATTCCTCTTTGACCCGCTCACTTCTGCATGTCTCAGTGTTGCAGAAGGCCCCAAATCTTGGAGTCTTTGTCTGTGTAAAGTGTCCCATGCACTCCCTAGAACGCCACAGACCCAGGCCAAACCCCCTGACTGCAGTTCTCATTTTCAGTGAGCTCAGGTTGGTCCAACTCAACTGGGCATCTTATAGATTTGGACATCAACCTACTCCTGCAGTTGCAGAGCCCTGCCCCAGCCTTTTCTTTGCCTTGAATGGGGTAGTGCTGGCCCAGATGGTCTGCACATGCTGACAGACGTCCCTAATAGTGTTCAGACCACCTGTCCTCCATTCTTCAGGGAAGCCTGACATACCTCCCTTTCCAACCCTTGGGGCCTGTTGTCTCTGAGCAAAAGTGGTATCTGCAGCGTAACTCATGGTCACTCTATAGGGGTGCTGTACTATAAATATGTGCAAAGTGAGTGGACAGAGAGTGTGGGTTCTTCTGGCCTTTCCTCCATCTTCACTTTGTATAATGATGCATCACGGCATTCTGTGTGCCTTAGAGGAAATTCATTTACCCTATTATGTGTTCACATGTACAGAAGCCAGGAAGTTAGGCACATTCACAGTAATTTGGGTATTACATGGTATTCTCTCCAGGGTGACTGTGTGGCCTGTACAACATTAAAGCACAAGACAACCGTGTTTATGTTTAATCTGGTCATTATATCTATCAGAGCCTAGTAAGTTGATAATTAAATGCACCCAGCAGCTTCCTGCATGATTTCTGTGTGGACCATGATATCTCACAAAAATTCCTGCTCTGGATAATAAGGAATCCCATAGAATGACTCTCCATTGTCCTTCACAATAAACAACAGCTTCTTCACCCAAGTGATGGACCCTTGGCAGGATGCAAATATTTCCCACAGCTAAGAAAAAACAGGAGTGCAGGCAGGGTCTCAGCTCTGATGCAAAAGTCAGGGGTTTGGATAAAACTTGTTTCTCTGGTTTCTTATGTCAACCTAGACAAGACACCATGCCTCTCAGGAGCTTCCCAATGTGTTAGTGTTCTCTATGGAGGTCATTCTGGAATCTGTCACCTGGGAACATGATCAGTGATGTGAGATAACATTTGTAAAATCTTTGGGCTGGTGTCACATATACAGAGAGCACAGAATTAGAAGTGAAATCCAGGAAAGGGTAGGATGGAGGTGGAACACAGTGCACACAATGCTGGCTCCTGCTGTGTGGTCACAGAAATTAGACTGATCACCTGGACATGTTTCCCTGGTGGTTTCATGAGGGTGTGGAAATGCATTGATTTATATTTTCCCTATTTTCCTGCATGATTTCTTTGTGGACCATGTGGGCCATCTGTATTTTCCCTAAGCATCTCAATTTCTTCTATGTATTGGTGCTGTGGACTCAAATCAGGAATTCACACAGGCTGAGCAAGCACTATGGATGGAGCTACATCCCCATATCTAAGTCTATAG